CTTTGTAAGATGATAAGGAAAGAACTGGGGAGAGCAGAAGAAGGGATACTGGAAGCCTGAGGGTTAATAAAGCCCAGTGAAAAAGCAATGCCATGGAAGAGTTCTATACCAAGGAAAACTATACCCTGAGTGTAAATACAGCTTTCAAGAAATAGCTCTGTGGCAAATAAGGAATGCTGCCAGCTAATTCAGTAATGAGAGAAAATGAAGTACAGAACAGGATGAAGAAGATAAACAACAAAGGCTACTACAGGCCCCTGCTCTTGTCACCATGGATGAGGCTTTTTAATCCATCATCCCAAATAATTATTTAAACTTGCTCTTCTAAATTACAAGAGAGGGCCAGGCACGGTGGTTCACACCTGTAATTCCAGCAGTTTGGGAGGCCGAGGCAGGCAGATCACCTAAGGTCAGGAGTTCAAGATCAGCCTGGCCAACATGGTGAAACCCCATCTCTATTAAAAATACGAAAATTAGCCAGGCGTGGTGGTGGGCACCTGTAATCACAGTTACTAGGGAGGCTGAGGCAGGAGAATCACTTGAATTCGGGAGATGGAGGTGCAGTGAACTGAGATCGCACCAAAGCACTCCAGCCTGGGTGACAGGAGCAAAAACTCTGTCTCTTCAGTGGGAGGCATAATAAAAAATAAAGAGAGCCCTTCCAATTAACTTAAGCCAAAGATACCCCAGAGAGGCCAGGCGCAGTAGCTCACACCTGTAATCCCAGCACTTTGTGAGGCCGAGGTGGGAGGATCACTTGGGGTCAGCAGTTCAAGACCAGCCTGGCCAACATGGTGAAACCCCATTTCTACAGAAAATACAAAAATTAGCTGGGTGTGGTGGCATATGCTTGTAAGTAATCCCAACTACTTGGGAGGCAAAGGCAGGGAGGATTGCTTGAACCCAGGAGGTGGAGATTGCAGTGAGCTGAGATTGCACCATTGCACTCCAGGCTGGGCGGCAGAGTGAGCCTCCATCTCAAAAAAGAAGAAACAAACAAAACAACAACAATAAAAACCTCAAAAGCTCCAAGTCTTTAAACTAACTGTTACAAAATTTCTAATCCCTCCATTGGCAGATTTCCATACCATTTTCTACACGTGGGTGTTTCCCCCGAAAGGGAACTTATTCAAAATAAATTTTAGAAATGATAATGGAGTGAACTCAAAGTTTCACAATTTAAGTATCAGGAAACCAGGCAGCTGTAAGAAATCTTTCAGTATTTCTGACTGGAAAAAAAACCCAACTTCCTCTTCCATGTTCTTCTCTGCATTATCAGCCTTAAAAGATGGGAGGCAATGCATATCTATATTGTTGGCCTAGAACAGTGCCTTGCACATAGCAGGTACTCAAAATGATCAGGTGTTTTCATGTGCGTCCTATGAGCCCTGTCTCCTTAATTTATATTTTCACTTGAATGATGCTCTCACTGATAAAACAACCATACAGGAGGCTGGTAAAGTTTACAGGGAGACACTTCCAGCAGAGGTGGGGGAAAGTCCTTTGCAAAGTATTACTCAGGTAATTAACCAATAAGCAACGGATTGCCCCCAAGACAGTCACTAGAGCTGCTCGGATAGCAGCCAGTATAGGTGTCATCTTAGCAGTTACTGGAGACCACTCTTTCCCACCCCCAAGCAAGAAACAGTGCTAAAAAGCACAGAAATTCATTTCTAGAAGACAGCTTTAAGTGCTCAGCTTGATGGTGCATCTGCTGTGTCCTGAGCAGTTAGCCACTTAGTTCAGAAAATTACCAAGTGATAAAAGAAAATTAACTCGTGATTTCATTTTTAAAATGCTTGTTAAATGAACTATTTATTTGCTTTTAAGCACAGATGGTCCGCAACTTAACGATTTTTCAACTTTACGATGGTGCAAAAGCATTAGGCATTCAGTAAAAAGTGTACTTCAAGTACCCATACAACCATTTCATTTTTCACTTTTAATACAGTATTCAATAAATTACATGAGCTATTCAACACTTTATTATAAAATAGGCTTTGTGTCAGATGATTTTGCCCAATGGTAGCCTAATGTGAGTGTTTCGACCATGTTTAAGGTAGGTTAGGCTAATCTATGATGTTTAGTAGGTTAAGTGTATTAAATGCATCTTCTACTTTCAGTATTTTCAACTTACGATTGGGTTTATTGAGACACAGCATCATCGTAAGTTGAGAGGCATTTGTAATTGAGCACCCACTACAAGTCCAAAGGTGGACAAGTAGAAAGAGTCAAAAAACATACCTACTACGCCTAATGGTACCACTTAACCAAGCCCGTGACCTTAGACAACCCCCTGAATCTTTTTCTTTATCTGTCCTTCTCCATCCTATAGGAGCCACAAGAGGTTCAAATGAAATTCGAGTTCAGGAAGAGTTCAGAGTCCTGAACTAATGAAAGGTGCTAACACTTTCACCATCATCACTAGGAAGAGCCAGAAAAGGTCTGAGGTTATCTCTGCTGTCAATATGACATTGATCAATGTCCTGACTAATGATTGTGGTGGCCTTTCAATGTTAACACTCATCCATGCATCACTGAGATCATCAGTAGGAGTGAGCTTATAACAACGTTCCCTGCTGTGGGCATGGATACATTGTATCCTTATTTATAAAGTTAGTATGGGTTTGTACATGAATAATATGATTTAATTTTGTTAAGTTACAACACATAGTCATGTGAACCAACTGGAATCTCAGATGTTTTTGGTGATTTATTTCTAAAAACAAATACTACAGATAGAAGTAAAAGGCTTTCAAAGTCATTGAACAGTGCTGGACCACTTTTCTGCTAAAAGAAAGCTATTGGAGGGGTGGGGCCGGGGCGGGATTACAAAGTTTCCACCTACCTTGGTAACACCAATGACTCTAAAATAATGTGGGTCTTCTGGATTGGGCCAACTACCTTTGCAGGAAACATCTTAACCACCCCACATCAGGACTTCTCTTCCAGTGATAAGTAGAGAAGAGCGGTGCTGAGTGGAGACTCTCATTTAGAACACTAAATGTGGGTTACTCAGTGCTGGGTAACTTTACAATCAACAAAGCCTCTCAAATCCCCGTTTTAGAAACCACAACAGCAAGGGCCAGTAGGCTTCAAACACTTTAGGGACCAGCTCTATTTCTTCATCTCCCTATGTCCTCAGTTTTGCATAGGGCAAGCTCACAGGAGGCCTTCATTCCTTCTTCCAAGTAATCTCAAACTGAGCACCTACTATGTGCCAGGCACTGGGGCTATCATTTTGGACAAGACAGATGAAGCAGTTTTCATGGAGCTTCCACTGTAATGGTGAATACAGACTATCAACCTGCAGACAAATCAATATAACTCTGACTGCTGCTATAAAGGAAATGTTGGCTAAATAAATGACCCAAGTGGTTTATCCCAAATCACAGTATATTAAATGATGGAAGAGGCCAAAACCCAAGTTTCCTGGCTCCAATTTTCTCTCCCCTTACATCTGCTGCCCTCTATCCTTCACTCAGCAAAAGGGCCACATATTTACATCCAAAGAGACCCAGTCACCAAAGACTCTATGATTTAATGAAATTTCTTCAGGCCTCAAAGCACTTACCTGCTTACCTCCAAATGAGAATGGAGGGACTAACTGGATCCCACCCTTTCCCAACAAAGCTTACTCTTACAGAGAAGGGCTTAGTAAGGCCTAGGCTCTTGCAGTGCCTATTCCCCAGGGCATGGCTTTAGCTGTTGGCTGTAGAGAGAAAACATCCCTGTAGCCCACCAGTTTATTGGCTAGTTCTTTAGGGCAAGTCAGACTACTGGGCCCTGCTTTGGGACAGCAAATCCCTCATGTATTTATTAAGCAGATTTACTAATAAGGTCAGATGGTTAAATCAGACATGGTAGTCTTAGGTTCAATATCACCAGGCTGCAAAGAACCAAGAAGCCTCGTTTATATGAATAGAAGTCACTGCAATAAATAACAGTAACATCGTTTATGAAATGTTTGGTATGTACTAGGGTCTCTGTGTGTACTAAACAGTCCCTGAGGTACATATGCTCTCTCAAAGATGAAGAAACCCAAACAGGGAATTTCAATAATCGGTCCCCTAAATATACAGCCAGAAAAGTGCAAGGCTTGGATTCTGAGCCGGCGAAGAAGGGCGAATTTGGGATAATTAACACACACGGATATACAAAGAAATGAAGATACAACCACTAGTTCACACGACAGGCAGGCTATTGGAAAGTTACGAATGCACCGCAAGCAAAAGATGCCACCATGGGCCCAGAGAATGCAGGAAAGTGGGAACTGACTCTTAGGCCCTTCCCCCAAGGCGAAGGAAAGGCAACCCCTGAATTCTTAAAATAACTCTCGCTTCCTCTCAGCCGGCAAAAGCACCGGACTGCTCCTCCGCAGGCCGAGAGGCGCCGCAGCGGGAGGGTGAGCTCCAGCCTCCGCCGCAGACCCTCGACGTCACGCTCCTGCCCTGGGCCACCAGGGAGGGCAGCTGTCCGCGGGCCTCGAGAGGGTGCCGGCCGAGCCCCATCTCCCACTTCCAGGGGACCCAGGGTCCAGAGGGGAGACCAGATTGCACAATCCGAGGAGTTGTCTCCAGTATCCCTGCCGCGCGCCCGCTCCGCAAGGGCACGGGCTTCGCCGCCGTGCGCGCGGAGCGGCCGGAGCGGGGACAGCAGCCGGCCCTCGGGCCCTCGCCGGGAAGGACCCGCGGTGAGCCCGCCCCCGCGCCCGCACCTCCCAGCACTCCCCTGCGCGGCTCAGCCGCTGACACCTGCGGAGCCTCGGTCCCCGCACCCTGGCTCCCCCGGGCCCGGTCACCCGCCGGCTGAAGACATCTGAGAGCCTTCGCCGCCGAGGCCCGGAGGCTGTGCGGCCAGGAAGCCGCCGCGGGCCGCGCCGATGCCCCCGGCCCCGAGTCGACCCTGCGCCCGGGACTCTGGCTAGTGGCACAGCCGCGGCCCCTGCACCCACTGCCCGCGTGCCCGCGCCCACACTTGGGTTCGCGCAGAGGACTCACCCGCTCGCGGTGAAAGTTTCGGGGTGGCGGAGCTCCACGGTGACTTGAGTTCAGAGCAGGGGGCGCGACGGGGCGGCCCAGCAGGACCTGCGTAGGGGGAGGCTGCTGGCCGGGAACGCGGGACGCGCGGCGAGGGGCTGCTGGCGCGGGGCCGGGGTTGGCGCGGCCGCCCCGCTTGCCGCGGGATGGAGGCTGCAGCGCGTCGGGCCCGGAGGCGCCACGGCCGGGGAGCGAGCGGCAGCGCGGCCCGGCGCGGCGGGAGAGGAACTGGCTGTCTCTGGGCTCGGTCGAGAGGTCCCAGCTACTTCCTGGTGCTCGGATTTGCATATCGAGCCCGGAGGGCGGGGAAGTGACCGTTTGGTCCCTGCCCAAGGTTTGGGTGTTTGGTGTGGCCGTCGCGCAGGGCTTTGAAGGCACAGAAACCTGGCGACTCAGTCTGCAGCTCGGGGGAGTGGAACAGCCTGGGCCAGCCTTCTACTGTAGGGACGGACGGAAGGATCTCCGGAGGAGCCTGGGCTTCGCAGGCACATCGACGATACCTCTCGCGTCTCCTTTCCTTTCCTTCCGACCCATCCCCAAGGTGTTAGGAAGGGGGTGCTCCCGGGAGCGGAGGAGGTGCGCTCTGATGCCTTCCAACATTTGGGGTTCTCTAGAGAAAGGACGCGCGCGATATGCCGAGGTGATGCTCGGGGTCTCGTTGAGTTCTTAATAATCATTACGGGTAAGTTCCTTAAGGGTGTACAGGAGGCTGTTCAGGGCATTGATGTGGAAGGGGATGACATGGAGTCAAAGGGCCCGGCAGGTTCTCCGTTTCTCAAAGCCTCAGTTTCCTCCCAGGACAATGGATGTAAGGATGCCTATCTCGTGTACCTTTCTGTACAGGGCACGCACTGGCCGCATGCAGGAATGCTGGCGTTATTTCATTCCTACTACAGCTGCATCCCAGCATGCAGGGCAGTGCTTGCAGGTAGCAGGTGCCTGACCAGTGTTTGCTGAAAGAATGTGTGACCGCGTGCTTAAGCTCATGTTCAACTCAATAAATGCCACTTACAAATCCAAGATGTAAGATTAGGCTCGGTCAGTGGATACCCACTTCTTCTACGCCAGATTCTGTTCACTGGGATCCCAGCATTGCAGTACCTTGAAAAATTTACAAGGAAACAAATTGGACACTGTGGGAGACTTGGTCTTTGCACTGATAGCAAACATTTACAGAGGGCCTGATGGGCCAGACACTGCCCAAAGCACTTCCTTTCTCTCATTAACAATGTTCTGAAGAGGCTGGCCCCAGCTACAGAGCAATAAGTCAAAGCAGCTGCCTTGTGACACAGTGTGATACAGCGGTCATTTGTTACTAGGAAAGGAGTACTAAAGTTTGCATACTAATTCCTTAAAAGAAAAAAAGAAAGGTGGTTTATACCTGTGATATTCACTGGTAGGTAGTCGTTAGTTTACTGCCGAAGAGAAGGGGTGGGTTACCCATGGGAAGGTGTGTAATTGAAACCTGTCAAGAATCCTATGGAGAAAAATGGAAAAATGAAGAAAAAAAAAAAAAGAAAAAAAAAAGAATCCTATGGAATAATTCACTACCTGAGGGCCTCTTGCCTGGACTTTTCTTAAGAATGACCTCTCAAATATATTCACCCTACATTAAAGTATCTGCTGCTGCTGAGGAATCCTTCAGATCCTGGCCAAACGTGTGTGGCTAATAAGAATAGGATTCAAAACGTTTGGTATTGGTTAATCTATCAGGAATATCTGTCAGTGTTTTTGGTAAAACATCTCTCAGGGTAAGGAACAAAGCATCATCAGGCAGACCTGAGCTTGCACCCAGCTCCCCAACTCCCTAACTCCTCACGAAAGTGTCCTCGCTAAGTTCATCTCTTCATTCTTATTTGGAAAAAAACAATACGATGCTAATTTCCACTTCTTAGGCTGCATTTATACTTGCTGAATACTTCATTCAATCATTCTCCATATTGTCTTTCCTTCTTAATGCCCCATGAAAGTTCTGTTTCTCAGGAAAGTTTTATTTAAAGCTCGTATTGATAGGCAACTTTTTAAAGCATCTGTAGCATTTATGGTGTGCAACATTCTTTTAAGCTAGACCTAGGTAATTTTAAGCATTGTTTGCCCATGTTAGCCTTTTCTCCTCAACTACTGGTAAACTCCTTTTGGGAAGGCACTGCTTTTTATATTTATCTATTCCAGAAACTATGCTTCGCAACAAATTATGCTAAGCACCTCCCAGAAATTATGTTGGGTTATTTAAAATACTTCATTAGTATTGATTGATTGGTTAATTGATTGATTGACTGATTTATCTCACCGGTTTTCTCTCAATTGAGCACAGAAGGCAGTGATCAGAGGCAGGGTGCAAATCAACTAAGGCTCCTTGACAGAGTAGGTGGGCCTTTGAAGAAAGGAAGGAATACCATGGGCGGGACAAGAGAAGGAAGTACTGGGAATATGTACAGTGTATCCTCATTTTTGCAGATACCATGTTTGTGAATTTATCCACTTGCTAAAATTTATTTGTAACCCCAAAATCAATGCTCGAGGTGTTTTCCTAGTCACTCATAGCCACGCACATCCCAGAGCAGTAAAAATCTTGATTTGCCCCCCACACACCCTCCCGGCTATAGTGGGACAAGGTGATTCTCTGCCTTCTTGTATGCTTTTTGCTGTCCATTTAGTTTATGCTTTCCACACTTCTGTGCTTTTCGTTGGTGATTTTGCTGTTTAAAATGGCCCCCAAGTGACCGGGCGCAGTGGCTCATGCCTGTAATCCCAGCACTTTGGGAGGCCGAGGTGGGAGGATTGTTTGAGCTCAGGAGTTCAAGACCAGCCTGGGCAATATTGTGAGATCCCCCTCCCCATAAAAAAAATAAAAATAAAAAATAAATGATCCCAAGCGTAGAGCTTACTAAAGTGCTATCTGTTGTTGCTAAGCACCAGAGGCTGTGGTGTGCCCGCTGGAGAACCGTCCTGCAGGTAGGAGCTACTATGCTATTGGCTGTGAACTCAATGTAATGAATCAGCCATATATTAAATAAGGTGTCCATTAAACAGAAACACACACCATGTATGGTTATGTATTAATCATAATGTAATGAAAATGTTGTGTCCAGAGACTCACAGGAACCTAAGAAGCAGTGACTCGGTATTCGCTAATGCAGTGTTCACAGTGACTATAGAACGTAACTACCGCAAATAATGGGACACGACAGCATACAAGAGCATCCCATCATCCATTGTGGGAAAATGAAATATCTGACCCCTAGAAACTTCTTCATTAGCACCACCATCATCATCTCAGACGTGGTCATGGCGCTTAAGGCCACGACTGGTCATGCTGCTCACCTGTTCATGTCGGTCCACCAAATCATCTGTGCTGCAACCCATCCCACTGCCACTGTGTGGGTTGCCTCTGCTGCCTCTTCTACTCTTCTTACATCCAACTCTTGCAAACTTAGCCACAGACCTAACTACCAAGTAGCAAATAATACAGAGTAATGGTGCTCAACCCTGGCGGCACATTAGAATCACCTGAGCTGCTAAAATATCTCCATGCCCAGGCTCTACCTAGACCAGTTAAATCAGTCTTTGGAGGATGGGGATGGTGAGGGGAACCCCAATTATCAGAGACTGAAAACCTTGCCAGGTGGTTCCAATGAGCAGCCACGTTTGGGAACCACTGGTGGAGTGTGCTCTGCCCTCCCCTAGCCTGGAGCTCACCTCTCTGAACAATGTCCACCTTCCTCAAGCCCTCACGCCCCCAGCTCCTCTGTCTTTAAGAGAGTAGCATGTGGCTGGGTGCAGTGGCTCACACCTGTAATCCCAGCACTTTGGGAGCCTGACGCGGGTGGATCACCTGAGGTCAGGAGTTTGAGACCAACCTGGCCAACATGGTGAACTGTGTCTCTACTAAAAATACAAAAATTAGCTGGGCGTGTTGGTTCACACCTGTAGTCCCAGTTACTTGGGAGGCTGAGGCAAGAGAATTGCTTGAACCCAGGAGTCGGAGGTTGCAGTGAGCTGAGATCACGCCACTGCACTCCAGCATGGACAACAGAGTGAGACTCGGTTTCCAAAAAAAAAAAAAAGTAGCCAGGATATGTGCCTATGTGTGAGGGTAAAGTGGTAAGGATTGAGAATATTAAACCTGTATTACTGGGGAAAATGGGTGACTTTAGCACAAGTGATTATAGATACAAGGAAATTAATAAAGAAAAACAGAAAAATTGCTAAGAATTATTTTAGGCTACGAAAAAATTTTAACAACTGTATAAAATATTATTATACATAAATTGCCACAGGCAGATTTTTAAAAAATGCTTATCCATTATTGACAGGTATTACATGGAGAAAGTATGTATGGTCAAGTAGGTTTGGCAACTTTTTGAGCTGAACCCAGTCTCACAAAGCTCCTTGTAGCACAGTGATGTCAAGATTAATCTCCATGAAGGGGCTAAGTGTGTTTTTGTCCCAACTCATATACCCAGGTGATGGATTTGCTGAAAGCTGCACCTGGGACCAGCTGTCAAACAGAAAACACAGCTATTAATGTGAATAGAGACCTCTCAGAGCCACCAAGCTGGCCGTTGTTTCATCATCACCCTAAACTTAATTCAGAAATGCTGAATGTTCATACACCGCAAGACAGCTGAGAATGGGCAGGAATGTCATGCATCACTGCCACCTGGCACTAGCAGAGCTCCTGGAACTGTGCTCGCTGATGTGCTGCTGCCTTGGCCACTGGCATAGGCATCACAGAAAAATAGTGGAGTTTTTTTGGTTTTGTTTTGTGTGTGTGCGCGCGCATGTGTTTTATTTATTTATTTATTTATTTATTTAGACAGACTCTCACTCTGTCACCCAGGTTGGAGTGCAATGGTGTGATCTCAGCTCACTGCAACCTCCACCTCCTAGGTTCAAGCAATTCTCCTGCCTCAGCCTCCCAAGTAGCTGGGATTACAGGTGTGTACCACCACGCCCAGGCTAATTTTTTTGTATTTTCAGTAGAGACAGGGTTTCACCATGTTAGCCAGGATGTTCTCTAACTCCAGACCTTGTGACCCACCTGCCTTGGCCTCCCAAAGTGCTGGGATTACAATTATTATTTTTTGAGATGGAGTTTCACTCTTTTTGCCCAGGCTGGAGTGCAATGGCACGATCTCAGCTTACTGCAACTTCTGCCTCTCAGGTTCAAGCAATTCTCCTGCCTCAGCCTCCCAAGTAGCTGGGATTACAGGTGTGCGCCACTATTCCTGGCTAATTTTTTATCTTTAGTGAGACAGGGTTTCACCATGTTGGTCAGGCTGGTCTCAAACTCCTAACCTCAGGTGATCTGCCCGCCTTGGCCTCCCAAAGTGCTAGGATTACAAGTGTGACTCACTGCACCTGGCTGACAGCAAAATAGTTTAAATCGTGAGCATGGAAGTGACACATGTAGGTGCCTACACTCCTTTCCCAGTATGAGGGCAAACCCAGCCTCCTTCATTGAGCTTTACATCACTCTATGGGGATGGAGCTTGTCCAAAGTAACCTTTCATGATGAACTATCAGGGACCCTTCAGGGTCCAGTCAGGACCATTGCCTCTCATTTATTCCTTGACCATGTGAGCCAGACTATGTTTCCATTCACTCATCACCTCCTATGTGCCAGGAACAAGATGGGGTCCCATATTCAATTATACAAAAGCAGTTTGGTAACAGCCATCAGATGATGATGGAGCCAAATGAGGATGTTTGTGTAATACTGATAATGATTTTATGTTCTGGTAACATCGTCTGCCTTGTTTGATGTTGTATTGTTTTCATGTATGTATGCATCTGGTTTGGTAGCCATCTTGGATGTTCAGTTTCTGTCTATGGGTTTTTTTTGTTTTTTGGTTTTTTTTTGAGACAGAGTCTCGCTCTGTCGCCCAGGCTGGAGTGCAGTGGCCGGATCTCACCTCACTGCAAGCTCCGCCTCCCGGGTTTAAGCCATTCTCCTGCCTCAGCTTCCCGAGTAGCTGGGACTACAGGCGCCCACCACCTCGCCTGGCTAGTTTTTTGTATTTTTAGTAGAGACGAGGTTTCACCGTGTTAGCCAGGATGGTCTCGATCTCCTGACCTCGTGATCCACCCGTCTCGGCCTCCCAAAGTGCTGGCATTACAGGCTTGAGCCACCGCGCCCGGCCTATGGGGTTTTGTGTGTGTGTGTGTGTGTGTGTGAGTGTGTTTGGTTTTGAGATGGAGTCTCACTCTGTTACCCAGGTTGGAGTGCTCTTGGCTCTCTGTAACCCTCACCTCACCTCTCAGGCTCACGTGACTCTCCAGCCTCAGTCTCATGAGTAGCTGGGATGACAGGCATGCACCATTATACACAGCTAATTTTTGTATTTTTAGTAGAGATGGGGTTTCACCTGTTGGCCAGGCTGGTCTCTAACTCCTGACCTTAAATGATCCACCTGTCTTGGCCTCCCAAAATGCTGGGATTATAGGCATGCACCATTGCACCCAGCCTGTCTATGTATGTTGCCTCTGAATAAACTTCAAATGCTGCTTCTAGTTTTTGGCTTGGTCGGAGGCATTGACTGAATCCCTCCTAGTTCTTAAGCCTCATAGCATGATGTAGTTATTACCACTTCTTGTATGTGGCCAGCATTGCTGTAAGACAAGAGATATTTCACAGAAATCGATAGAGACCTCTCAGAGCCACCAAGCTGGTTGTTGTTGCATCGTCACCCTAAACTAAATTCAGAAATGCTGGACGTTCATATCCCATAAGACATCTTGAATTATAGGTGAAAAGGTGTAGGTATGCTTTAATATGAACTTCGTCGGCTGGTTTTCCCAGACCCATAATATCATGTGCCCAGCAACAGTGCTAAGGACACCTTGATGGCTTCATTATAGTCACTTTCCATTTCTTACTTCCACCTCCAGAAAAGTCCAGAAAATGCAGGGCATTGCTCCAGGTGACTCAGTAAAATCTCAGCCACCCTCTATAAGGTAAAGCTCATCCCAGGGTGGGCTGTGGTTTTCTCTGACTCTGGGCACGTCCTTTCATTGATCTGAATGGTTTATGTGTGTCTGTTCCTCGGAAGTCCTGTTTATCTTGATCAGTTACTGTTAATCTCCAAGAATACTACTATCCTAAAAATACAATTGTCCTATGACATATAGTATTTGGTTCTTAGTTAGGGATTCTTCAGATCAGATTGTGGACAGGATGCAAAATTATAAATGGAAAAACTTGCACTCATAAAGTCAGAAAGGGAGCTATATTCATTTGCCTTCCAACCCAGCAAGAGTTTTGACTAAACTAATATGATTTTGAACCTGATTTGCTTGCTTACATGACCCAAGGATGTCAGAAGAGGTTCTTTCTGTACCTGTGATTACTGGAAAAACTATACTCAACAGGACTCTGTTTGTTCATCTATAAAATGAGCCACATCTAACTCTCACAGGTGCTGGGAAGGTAGCCAAGTGGCCCAGTGTTCCCAATCTAAGGAGAAAAGTGATGGTGTGAGGTGGAGGAGGAGGTGGAAGGAGGAGTAGGAGGTTGGCTAATATTATGAGTATACACAATATTGAGAGTATTTTGGGGTGGCTCAAGCCACAACAACAGACACCTTTATGCCTTTGTTTTCACTCACTGCCTTTCTTGACCTCCATCCTCACACAGCTGGGTCTTACCCATCTTTCAGGGACAGTGTAAATGCCACCTCACCAAGGAGGCCTTCTGCAGACACAGCACATCTCTTCCTTC